CTGGTGAGCAACCATTGAAAGCAACCAAATTCCACGCGACCGCACACTCCGAACTCAGGGAATATATGAGGAGGTGGACCGGAAGCTCGTGCGCACCCTCCCCCCCACCCACCCCCCTCCCCGTACCGCCCATAACGCCGCCCTGACTCCCGCGCGCTGCTACGCCCCCCTTGTAGGTCCGTCGTCACGATCGGCGACGTGGACGGCGACGGCACAAAGGGTCCTGTGGAACGAGCCAAACGCCGACGGCGGACGCGCCCTCTCCTCTTCGCGTCCGGGCTGCCGTCCGAGCAGCCGTCCATCTTCGGCCTGGCTGACGGCGGCACCGACGTCTTCCCCGGCACACGCAGGTCCCAGGTCGGGGCGGTCGCCCTCGGCAATGTCTTTGGGAACGGCCGCGTCGACATCGTGATCGGCCACCAAACCTTCAACGGCGGTCCGCCCGAGCTGGTCGAAAACACGGGCAACCGCGGCTTTGGGAGCGTCGTCCCGCTCGACCCGCCAGGCTGGATCGACGTCAACGCCATCGCGCTACTCGCGCCGCCTGCGCCGCCGCCGGCGCCCCTCGACTGCGGCTCCTTCTCGCCCTGCGAGGACGGGGAGTGCACCGACGCGCCCCCCAACCTGAACCCGCCCGGCCCAAGCGAGCGCAACGTGTGCGTCGGCAAGAGCGGCTGCGTGGAGATGACGGGTGGGTACGGCTACTGGCTCTGCTGCTCCCCCTCGGAAGACGGCACGCCGTGCCTCCGCCCGAACAAGCAGTACGATAATCCGTGCGCGGCTCCCCGGCGGGCTAAGTGTGGCACGCGGCCAAACACTCAAGTCACCCTCGCTCGTCTGTCTCGCTAGGTACTATCGCTTCGGCAACTCGCTCGATGAGTGTCTCGCGTTTGGCTGCGGCGAGTGAAGACGCGCCCGGCATATCTCCTCCCTAGAGCCCCCCCCCTCCCCCCTCCCCCTCGGCCCCCCTCGACTTCCGACCCAAACGTTTCACTTCTTGACTGTCTTTTCTTCTCTCTCTCTTGTGAGGGAGCTTTGGTGTAACATTCTCTCTCTTTTGCTCGACTCACCTTTCTTTTTGGGGGCGCGCCGCCAGGCGCGTCCCCACTTTTGTATCACAGCTGCGAGGGCCAACCAAGGGATTCGGCGCGTCAAGTTAACTTGACCGCTCGTTCGGGCTTTGGGCCGCAGGCCGGCGCGCAGCGCCACGCCGCCAGGCGTCCGCCGGAGGCCCGCCGGAGGCTCTTCCTGCGGCCACATTCTGGCAAGATTCCGCCGCGCTCAGGCGCCCAGAGGATGCGTGCGCTGCGCTCAAACGTCGCGATTTGGCAATAGGCGCTCGAGCCGGCGCACAGCGGACGGGTGCGCCGCGCAGGGGGGGTCGGAGGGGTGCGAGAGGGGGCGTGGGTCGGGCGCGCACCGGCCGGCTCCGGGAGCGGCCGTCACGTCGAGGAGGGGGGCTGTCGGCGGCTCGAGCGGCGAGGCGTGCCACTCTGCTTCGCCGCCGACAGCCCCTCTTCCGAGCCGGCGCGTGGCGACGAGCCGCGGCCAGTGTCGCTGGTTCCTTTGGCGGCGCAGCGTTTATCCCCCCCACCCGCGCCCGCCCGCCCGCCCGCCCGCCCGCCCTCAGGCCTTGCCCCTTCGCAGGCGCGGGAGCGCTCGCCGGCGAGCACCTCCTACCTCTCCTCGCCCGGCTGCTCCCTTGCCCCGTCGCCCGCCG